CGAATATACCCAGCACGGCAGCGAGAGAGAGAGAGAGAGAGAGAGAGAGAGAGAGAGAGAGAGAGAGAGAGAGAGAGAGAAGTCCTCTCCAAGATGTTGTAACATTAAAAAGAAACGCACCTTCGGGTTTAAATTTAGGAAAGGAAGAAAATAAAAAAGATTCTTACCCCGGGTCATGTTGCGAATCGTTTAGGCTTCCGGACGTGGCTTGACTCCCGTCTCCTTCCATATCTAGTCCAAACTACAGCGGCTGGGACCACAGTAACAGTGACAGACACACACAGATAGGGCAGGAGATATGCAAAGCCCCGCTATGAGAATATTACTGAGCCGGGAATGAAAGCGTCACACGTGGGATCAGCTCAGCCCCCCTTGCTCTCTCCTCCCTCTCTACCTTGGCCCACAGGGGGTGGGCGGAGCTTAGCTCTGTCACCTAACCAATCCAATTGACGTCAATTCAGGCAATCTGCAAACCAATCCTCCGATTTGTCATTTAATTAAGCAATAAGCCACGAGAGGTGCCGCTGGGTTATAATTGCTCAGTGGACACAGTTTATGAGATTTTTTTTTCTTTTATTCCTACTTAATATGTTTGCACTCTTATTAAACAATTCAAACTTTCTTTTTTTTTTAAAAGCAACATTAAAATATGTTTACCTCTTGTTTCATAGTCCCCTCATGAAAGGGCCAGTTATTGTTTTTTAGTTAATATTTAAGTTATTATGTTGCCTCTGAAATGTTTCTTGGAAGATAATCAGAGTTTAATCCAACTGAAAACTCCATTCTGTGTGAAGCAAAGTGTAAAACTGGAAATGTGCAGCACCAGTAAACTTCCATCTTGCTTATAATTGAATGATAATTAGAATATTAACAACTGAATGAAAAGTGTTTTTTTCTCTACTATGGGTTTTTGTTGCCTTACTGATAATTAGGAACAGGAGCAAGAGCATATTTTGTGTAAATATTACACTTTTGATTTTTTTTTTTTTGATAATTAATTCACATGATGAGTGTAAAAGTAACTTTTAAACCCAGGTTGCACTTGAAACAATGCGGTCTTGTAATCATCACTGATGAAGGCAAAAATATAGTAATGATTGACAGTATTTTGTGTGTGCATGTGTAGATGTCTGTCTGTTAGCAAAATATCTCCTGAACCATTGAATGAATTTTCATGAAACCTGCAGAAAGTAATCATTGGATGGACATTTACAAGTGATTAACTTCTAGAAGTGACCCGATTCAAGATGGCCACAACAGCTATGTGCAAACAGAAAAATGGCTATGACACAGTCAATATTATAGTTATTAAGCTAATTTTAGGATTTTTTTGTAGCTGAGAGTTGTCCTTGACAAGAATTTTAAAACCCAAACTGATCAGATTAGATCTTTTTTTAAAACCTTGCTTTTAACTGTTGGAGTCAGCTCTGTCTGTTAGCAAAATATCTCATGAACYACTGGATGAGTTTTCATGAAACTTGCAGAATTTAATCATTTGATGTACGTCTTCAACTGATTAATATCTGGAACTAACCCGATTCAAGAAGACTGCCACAGCTCAGTGAACTTTGCAAACACAAAAATGATGGTCTCCTCTTCAATTTTACAGACATTAAGCTAGAATTTATCATGATAGCAGCTGAGTATCATCCACAACCTGCGCTCTGACAGCTACACACTGCATGAGATCTTTGCTTCAAACATTGTCATTAACAACTGGGAGTTGACCTAGTTCGTTAGCAAAAAAAGATCTCATGAACCCCTGAGCAATTTTTAGTGAAACTCTCACAAAGTCACCATTAAATGTATTTTTGCAGTTCATTAACATTTGGAGTCAATGCAAATAATGACAGACACCACAGCTCATCAACCTTCGAAAACTCACATAAAAAAAAAGCTATAATTTAGTCATATTTACAAATACTGAGCTAAAATCCTGCATGGTAGTGTCTGAGAGTCATCCTGAATGATGAAGTCCCCCTTCATCACATGAGATCACACATATGTCGTTTACAAGCTTAGRGTCAAATGATATCAGACGGTGATTTTTAAATGCCTAAAAACACAAGGGATGTAAATTAGCCCYGGCACGCTTGGTGCTGTTCACAAGTCCCCGAGTCTTGACCTCTGACCCAGCGGTCTCACCTTCAACTGCCTCGTTCATCATGACAGGCTGCGAAAAAGAAATTTCCCATGGGGATCAATAAAGTATGGTATCCTTACATACAGCAGAGTAATTATGGATCTCTTCATGTAGATGACCTATAATGAGCTGTCAGACCTGCCCTCTGCACAATGTGTGTGGAGATAAGCTGCTTCTGCCCCCTAATAACCTTGACGAAAAAAGAAGAAGAAGAAGAAGAAGCTATATTAAGAATGACTGAATGCACAAGACACGTGCAGTAGGGAGGCAATTTTATTTTACAATCTTCCAATGTAGAATTTTGTCCCAAAAATAAATRAGTAAATAAATAAAACCCATTCTGAACAGTAAATCGTGTTTTTATGTGTCAGAAAAATTCCACAAATTTGAGAAAAATGCAGGTCTCAGTCACTGTAACATGAGGAGGCTCTGCATATAAAATGTGACTTGTGAGTCCTGTTTTATTATTCACAGTCAGTGACGTCTTGTGAATAGGCCTGTCTGTGCTGACTGTTGAGGGTTCCACCAGGGGGAATTTCTTATCTGGCCAGGCAGCATGTTTTTGAAACAATGCCTAAGATAAATAAAATAAAAAAACAAATAACAACACTTTTGTCAGTTTTGCAGCTAAATTTCTGTCATTAGTTATGGGACTTCTTCCTGTTGAAGCTGCCTGTATAGCTGTAAAACAAAACAACTTAAAAAAAAACACTCAGGCAAACTGTGGTGATTCCTCGCAGCACCGCAGCATCATAGAAAATGGAAATATGACACCTCATGTGAAAGACCGTTACGCATCAAGCYGTCTTTTTGCACTGCTGCTCCGTCCCATGGCATTTTGGGATACATCTATGATTACATTACTGTTCTCAGATGGGAGGCGGTGTTTTTATATGCACCCCCACCCCAACCCAAACTCCAAAAAAAAAAGTGAATGCAAGAAAATTCGCACACACTCATCCACCTGCACAGACACAAAGAAGTGAGGGAGGCTATAAATTGATGTGGAATGCGAGCTCCGAGGAACAACAGGCTTTAAAGCCCGTCGCAAAGTGTGTGGAAATCACAGTGGATTTACCACGTGAAGAGCAACCTGTGTTTTATGCTCAGRATGAAAACACTGGAGGGCCCACAGGCTTCACGGTGGGATTGTGAAATATTCTGTCATCTCAACATTGTTTTTGGTATYATCGCCTTTCCAATCACTGTTCCTGCACGACGAAACGAACCGAGCTGAACGCATYAGCAAAAGTGCAGTCAGCGAGATGTTTGACATCTTACCAAGGGTTTGTGAGCAACACCTGGAACCAGATGGGCCATATTTTAGGACAGCCAGCGTTTTAAGCTACTGTATCATTAAGGCCTTGGGAAGCAAGGGTGCGCATGGTGCTGCAGCACTCCCTGATTGATGCCCGAGGGCATGCAAGCCCAAACACATAGAATTACGTAAACAGAACTGATGTCAAAATTAATTAGAAGAATGTAAATGTTGTCTGCTTCCTCTAATGAAATTTGCTGAAAATGCTTGAAGTTAAAGTTCAGGTGAAAATGAAGACCCCAAACCCAGACCCAAACCAGTGATTATTCCGTATGCTGCGGGTGTTTCGGAGAAACTGAGACGTTTATTTTCTAAACATGATGTCCCAGTGGCTTTCAAACCTCAAAACACATTACGGCAAAGGCTGGTTCACCCCAAAGRTCHGGTGCCCCGGCACAAACAGAGCAATGTTGTATATGCTGTTAAGTGCCAGGAGGACTGCGACCAGTTATACATCGGRGAAACAAAGCAGCCACTGTTCAAAAGAATGTCCCAACACAGACGAGCTACATCTAATGGCCAGAACTCTGCAGTTTTCACTCATTTACAGGCCAGCGGTCACTCTTTCAGAGATGAGGATGTTCTCATTCTTGATAGAGAGGAACGTTGGTTTGAGAGAGGAGTAAAAGAAGACATTTTTGTGAAGTAAGACCGTCCATCATTAAACAGAGGTGGAGACCTCCGTTTTCAGCTGTCCCCCTCCTACAGCRYGGCCATTGCCAGTTTCACTCCACCCCCTGTTAACAATAAGTGTTAATTAGGTGTCAACGATAGCCATGTGATGTGAGTATCAGTCACATAGAGGCAGGGCTTAAAAGCCTGAATTTTGCCTGAAACTCTCAGACTGAAGAAGTCTCTTGGAGAAGAGACGAAACGTTTCATTAGAGAAGAACCCGTCCAGAAGACACAATTTTTTTCTTTTTGCTTGAAGTTAAACTTAAAAGAAGCAAAATGATAGCTCAATGCTAAAAAAAAGCAAAAGCCTAGTTTAAGGCTAAAACTAGCAAACCCTGTGAAAAAGTAGCACACAACACTTGCAAACACTTGCTAAAAGCAAAAATAATAGCATCGTATTTGGTAAAAACACAATATTGCAAAACATTAGCTAAAAGCTATAAGTAGCAAAAGGTCATCAAATTATGAAAATGTTAGCTGGAGTCAAAACGTAGCAAAAGGCAAAAAGTATAAGAAAAGATACCTAAAAGCGAAATGCTGCAGAAGGTTAGGTAAAAGTTAAAAATAACAAAACAGAAGCTAAAARGACTTAAAGCTAAAAGTAGCAAAATGGTGGTTAAAAAATTGCAAGTATCATATAAGGGGATAAAAGTACTGCAAGTATGCTTCATTTTTGACAGAAATGAAAATTTCTCAATTTATTTCGACTGGGAAAACATTTGAAAACTAGAAAATTTAGCMGAAAAGCAGCAAAACAGTGGCTAAAACCTAAAACCATTCAAATAGTAGCTGACAGCACATTAGTAGCTAAAAACTAAGATCAGCAAAAAGGTGAATAAAAGCTAAAACAAGCAAAACTGTCTGAAAGCTAAAATTTTCAATTAGGCATCCCTTCTGATTGAAAATATTAGTCAGATTAGCCTTAATTTCTAGTTTTTGGCTACATAAATTCAACAGTATATTTTAATGCACACTTATAGATAAGATAACGTGCACAGCCAGTAAGCCTTTCACTACATACTGTATRTTTGGTCTGCTGCTATTCTTCATGTGGGTATTTATGGTGAAAAAGAGTCACAGCAGACCCCAGCTGAAACACGTTCCAACAGCTGCACAAACCAGAGTTCCCAATAAGAACAATCCTTCATGTTTTGGGTAAAAACTCCAGTGGAGAACTGGTCTGGAGCTGTGTTTTTAACACTGACTGAAGGAGAAATCTGTATAGATTTTTAAA